AAAAAAAAAAAAAAAAAAAGAAGATCAAACCTGTTGCTGTTGAGTAGATTCTGATTCATAGTGACCCTATAGGTCAGAATAGAACTGCCCCATAGAGTTTCCAAGGAGCAGCTGGTGGATTGGAACTGCCGAAATTTTGGTTAGCAGCCATAGCTGTTAAACACTGCACCACCAGGGCTCATGCGTAATCACTACTAGATATTAAACAGAGCTTTTGAAATTGGAAATTTCAGTACCAACTTGCAATGTGTGATACTTTATGTTTGTTGTAAGAGGACAGCCCCGAATCTAGAAAAAAGCTCAGAATTGTAAGCATACAGTGGCATTTAATAATAATTCAGTGAACATTCAAATTAGTACTAAAGATGTTTAGACGTTAATCAACATCAAACAATAGGATGCTTATAAATTTTGTTTTGAAATTGTGGACTATTTGACAAAGAATCCAGTAACGGTGAAACTTCTGTCCCCTAAAATGCACCATAGATTCATTTGAAAATGTGTGCTTAGTAGAGTTGGAAAGAAATTGTGATGCTTTGAGAAATGAGGAATTTTGGATATTGTTGTGGACATATTTTAAAATCATTGAGTCTCCTTCTTCCATATGTTAACACATACACACTCAAACACCAAATCTGGCATTGAGCACCCTGTAACTGTATTTATAAGGCATTCTCAATTTATTCACAAGTTAGGCGCATGAAAGTTTTATGCACAAGGAAAGGAAAAAAAAAAAAAAAAAAAAACACACACAACAAAACCCAGCATCACCATAAGCAGCTGAAACTGCACAGCCTAGTTACAGATTGTACAGGACTCTACAATCTAGTATAGATATTCACCATCATTATCATCATGTTTTAAAAGTAGTACTTGGATTAACTCAGAAGTACCTGGGATGACCAGCGTTGCTAAACTATTTTGGAGTAGAGTCCCTAGTGAGGGCATAATCAGGGTTGTTGTTTAGGGCATTCACTTTCTGCCTGGTGAAGCAAGCTTCCATTTTATAGCAAGAATGTCCTCAAAATGCAGAAACAGCTAAGCTAGAACCAGTCCCGGCATGATTTACGGCAGAATGAATGCAGGCCATCAGCTCTTGGGTTGTGAAAGCCATCCCATTGGCTGCCTGAGTGCTAGATTTATGCAGTTGCTCTTCATGGCTCGCTTGTCTGTACTGTTCAGGATGAGACACTTCAAGCCACACCAACTATCTGTGGTGGCCTGCGTTACTTACTTCGCCCTACCGTACAATTATTGAATGAGTCCATATGTGCACATGTGCTGTCAGAGACAGAGTAATCTGAAGAGTTTACCCATCATTGCAGAGTCTCCTGCAAAATTAACGGACTAAAATTGCCCTAGATACACCAAGAATATTTTCATGACTAACCCTGGGTGGTTGTAAACAGAGACCAGAAATCTACATTTTTATGTATGTAGCTTCATGTCTTTTCCTTTGTTCAGGATAAGAGTCATTAAATTAGGCCACATATTCTGTTTCACCATTGTTGCATAATTTAGTCTCAAAATTCTGCTGAATTTATCCCAACCTGAATGATTGGCCCACCACTGTGTTAAGAGGTTTAGCTGAGAGGTAGACAATTGTAACAACATCTGTGACAGCTATTGTTTCCTCTAATAGGTAATAGAGTTTGATGATGGATCGGGATCAGTTCTCAGAATACAACCCTTACGGACTCCTCGGGATGAGGCAATTTATGAATGCGTGGCCTCGAATAATGTGGGAGAAATAAGTGTATCCACCAGACTCACAGTTTTACGTGGTAAGTGCACCAGGACAAGGTGTTGCCTGTGTCGTTGTTGAAATGCTGTATCTCAGGTGTTCTTTTGTGAAACCATGCAAAGGGCTAGTGTGGGCATGGAACATAAAGGGAAAATGAAATATTTATAATGGTCAAACTTTTTAGTAGGCAGGGGGCACCTCCTCTCATGATGGGTCTTGAAGAAATGCTAATCGAAGAAAAGAGAAGCCCAAAGAAATACTAATTTCATATTCCAGATACCATTTTGACTTTGGGTAGAGATCTTAAGAGAGAAAACAGGGTAGGCTAGCTTTGCATGTTAGCGTGACTCATGCTTGGATTTTCATACCTAATTCAGCAGCTATGTTTTAACAAATTACTAAATGTGTATTGACATTTGCAAAATGAAGGAACGACGTGAAGTAAAAATGAGTTCCTCCTGAGCAGTTGGTCAGAACCAAGAACCAGAAAGGCACCTTTCTTCTTTAAGTCAAAAAAAAAAAGTTTCCATTTCATTCCTTTCTCTTTCTTGAGCCAACATCTGTGGATGCACATGAGAACATGGTTTCCTTCTTTATCTCCAGGTGTGTTGCATCTTCAATTTGACCAAAACATGGGCTGCCTTGTCGAATCTTCAGCGTAGTGTGTCCACCTTCTGCCTTCCTTTAGGATGACAGTGCTGGAGGATAGTGCTAGTACTCAGCTGTGTATCTCTAATTCAGTCTTGCGTGTAGAGATAAGATCATGGCCTGGTTTGGCTAGCCTAGCCTATGATATTTCCAAGCTAACACTTCTGTACCTTTATGTGTTTGTCCCTTGCACACGTTTTGTTTGTTTTGCCTTGCTTCTTTGAGCTTCATTTTGTTTAAAGCTAGCATTAAGGAGAGTAGGGTTTCTTAAGTTGAAGGAAACTGGAAAGAAGGGATCAAATTGTAACAATCACAGCTGAACATATACAGGTTAGAAACATTTTCCCCACATTTCTGTTTATTTCCCCTCGTCAGGAATTTATTAAATATGTATCTTATATGAAATCAGAAACATTTTTCTTTCCAATCTGTTTGGCACCACAGCTTGGTCCTTCCAAGAAAAGTACACTTTCCTGATCTTGTCAATAACCTACTTCTTACAGGTGCATAGTTCCTAGTCAGGTAGGCCAGATTTACCTGGTGGATCTGAGATTGGCAAAAATAAACTACAAAATATCCTAGGAGTCCAAGAGAGTAATCAAATGGACTATATATACTTTAGGACTAGAGTTTTAATGCTGTAGCAGGGCACAAGCATATGTAAAAGATGGTGGAAGAAAGAAGAGCTGCATACAGCTGTCAGCTGTATGCAGCTGTCTGCATACAGATGACATTCTAGCACTTCTTGTGATGTAGTAGCTCAGAACCTAAAGCTACCATAAAAGCTGGTAAGAAACCATGAATCATGTAGAAGGTGGAACGGAAGCCATGAAACCATTCACCTCATAGAGATATCACCACATTCCAGAGCATAGGGCCCCAGAGAAGGTCATCTATACCCAAGATGGACTCATAGACACACATTTAAGCTAGTTCCAACCCACAAGGGAGAATTAGCCCAAGCAATGAAGGAAGAAACCATAGCCTGTGATCTAGCGATAATAGAACCATGTGAGTGAGTTTTATTTATAAATGTGTTTCAGCTATTAATAAAAGAGGAAGGGATAAAGTCTAACAAGCAGGAAGAAGACATAAGGGAAAAAAAGAGGAATCAAGAGTTGGAAGTCAGATTTTAGAAAAGAATGTCAGACATTAGGCATTAGGGAAAAAATAGCAAGAGAGAGTGAGAGAACGAGTGAGCAGATGGAAGTTAAAAGTCAAGCTTTAGAACTGGAAGGGATCCTAGAGACTATGTTCATACGTGCTATAATATGTGCTACAAAGAGTACGCATATAGGCCAGATTTACTTGGTAGATGTGGAATTTGAAGAAATAAACTACAAAATATCCAATAAAATATATTTGTCCACATAATTTTAAATAAAAGGTCCAAACATTATAGTCAGATTACAAAAAAAAAAAAAAAAAAAAAAAAAACCCACTGCATTCGAGTCAATTCTGACTCATAGTAACCCAGTAGACAGAGTAGAACTGCCCCATAGTGTTTCCAAGTCTTTAATCTTTACGGAAGTGACTGCCATGTCTTTCTCCTGCAAATTGGCTGGTAAGTTCAAGTGGCCAACCTTTTGGTTAGCAGCCAAGTGCTTAACCACTGCGCCACAAGGGCTATTACAAGCATGCATATCTAAAGCAAAATCAGACTCATTTGTGGACATCATTTTTACATTTTAATGTCCGTTTATTTACCTGATTTATAACTTACGTTATTAATGTAGTAAGTGTACTACTACAGTGCAATGAACAATGTTTATCAGAACTTTTTTTTTCTTTTGCCTTCTAAATATCTTGCATCACTTAAAAGGAAATAATTAGTTATCTGGTTTGATGTAATCAAGCGTTTGATGAGGACATTAACAACATGCCAAAGGAAATCGTAACTTTGATATTCACGTAGATTTAAGTTTTGCTGCTTACCCACCCTCTCAGCCCTCTTTATCCACCTAGCCCACACATGCAACAAATGCATCAGAACATTTTAGTAGTGACCTTGACTTTCTAAGTGAATATTTGTCACATGTAAATACATTTATGATTCTAGATATAAACCTTTCCTATTCTTGGGTTTTTTTTTTTCTTTTTTCTCTAAGAGTATATTTAGAAGTTTTGGAAATATTTCATGAGAAAAACCTCAAAGATATTTTGGATCGTGGAAAAGTAGTCTAAACAGAGCCTTAAAATACGATATTAAAAAAAAAAATAGAATACTTTCATATATCCTCGTAGCATAAAATAAATGGGGTTGGGAATTAAGTTTCCTAGCGTTACCTCTTTGTTTGAAATTTCCAACTAACTAGTAATAAATTCTATTAATAATAGTCTTTTAAAAATATCCTAGTGGTAAACTGACCGTTGTGGAATATGACCATCCTGAACAGTTAAATAAATGTAATGGGCTTCTTGCCCCCGTTGATGACCTTTGTGTCCATTTTAAGTTCACTTTCTTTTACAGAGCTTGTTGGCAGTCTCAGCAATCCTGTTCTGCCATGGATGAAGACCACTTTGTGCTCTCTGTCTGGTGGCCCTCAGCTGGTGCTTATTCTGTCCACATGGGTCATTTGCTTTTTTCCTACTCGGCTGACAGTGCCAAAAAATGTGCCAACTGTCATGATGGGCTTTGTCTAAGTGGACTGGATTGAGATCAGTAATTCCTTTCACACAGGCTACTGCAGAGCCCAATTAATTGGAAATTCAAACATCTGCCTTGTGTGGCTAATGCAGAAGACATTGAAATAATACTTCGACCACCCATGTGCACTGAAGGGAGTATTTCAGGGAAAACTTTCCCTCAGTAGCTGGTTTCAGATTACCCTGGCTGTCAAAGACTGTTTTCCTAAGGAAGGATAACAGCAAGCTTGGGCTGAGCGTGCCCTGGAATGACATATTTGGCCCATTACAATTGATACACAGTAGAATGCGGTTGATGGGAGAAGAAGTGGGAGAAAGAGGAGTCAAACCTGGTGCTTACAGTCTAGCTTATTTTTTGGTTATTTTGGTGCCCCAGTATGGAAACACAAGCAAATACTTTAGGAGGCGAGCATATCGGCCATGAGCATGTTTTTCCTTCTAAGTAGAACTTTAAGTGCAGACCTCAGATCTCACCGAGAGGTTATTAAGGGCTGAGCCTTACCTAATGGGGCAGTGCTGTGAAGGAATATGGATTAGATATTAGGCTTTCAGCGAGGGGCAGGCATAGGACCAGAGAAGATGTTTTAAGAAGAGGAATTATCATCCATGTGACATTGGTTCTATCTGAACCTTTGGTTCACTGGCCCCAATTTCTTCCTGACCAAAGGCATCAACAGGAAAACCCGTCATGTAAATACACGTGATGATAACTGGAGTGGAAATTTTCTCTTATATACATATTATCAGCCACTGGGCAGGGAAAATGAAATATCACTATCCATAGACTTTTCTTTCTATTAATTGTTGAGGAGGACCTGCCTCTTTTGGGCAAGAAGAGAGACATCGGGAATCCCTCCTCTTGCTCACGTAACTCTGTTTTCTAAGAGAAAGTTCCAGAAAGTTTTAATCAACTTTGTTTCCAATTCTCTAAATGTCATGTTTCTTGAAACTAAGGCTAGTAATCAGAAAATACACATTTTATGTCACTGAAACAGCGTGTATTATGTCATTTTTTAAAGTTATTTTCAGAGACTTGCCCATTCCCAAACAGCTTTGTTCCCCAAATCGCCACCATCACCACCAGTACCTACCATGCGGAACAGTATGTAACATTATTGCTCTTATTTACTGATAGGAAACTAGCTTTTGTGTGCAACATATTGAAAGTATAATTACTATCTAAATAAGTTAGCTGACCGTATATGAGACATTTTAGCTGGCTACTTTAGTAAACATCTCATTAAATAAATATACGTGAGTATCTACATATAAATGTATTGTATTTTATGATTGATCAATTTCTAAGTGTCTGCATGTAAATATATTGTATTTTGTGATTGATAACTTCTAAGACATAAGAAAATGCACAAAGTACCCAAGTCTAGGTGTCGGGTAATGAATTTTAACTCTGACTTAGAGTTATCACTTAGCTGTGACATCTTGAGCAATATTGTTGTCTTCTTTCCTTCCTTCCTCCCTCCCTCCCTCCCTCCCCTTCCTTTCTCCCTCCCTCCCTCTTTCCCTCCTCCTTCCCTCCTTCCTTTTTTTTGCCTCACGTGCACAATGAAGGCATTGGATCAGTGCTCACTCAGCACACTTCTCTCTAGCTTTCTATGATTCTGTGACATTCCTATTTCAGGAAGTCAGTTCATGCAAGATGGAAAAAATATGCTCCCTGAAGGTGGCTGTTACTGAGATAGTAAAGCACACAGTGAGCAGTTGGATGAGACAGAGAAGGTACTTCAT